ATCAAGAGTGTATCTTAACTGTGTATTATTATTATTTTTAACTGTGTATTATTTTAAGCACTTTCACTTGTAGTACTGAATCTCTCTTAATCTCACTGTAAAGTGCAGATACTTTATTTTATCTTGAGATCAATACTTGAGCAAAAAAACTATCATTGAGTGGGTTCCAACCCCCATTCATGCCTCAGGACCAAGTAGAACTGCCCACGGCATTTACAAAGCTATAAAGTTTTGCAGAAGTAGACTGCCTCATTTTTCTTGTCTTTCTCTTGCTGAGTGGCTAGTGGGTTCACTAGTACTGGCTTTTTGGCTAGCACCTGAATCCTTTAACCATTATGCCCTCAGGGCTCCTCTGAGGTCCCTTTCTGAGGTCCTCAGAGAAGCAGAAATGTGCTCAGCACGTCCTCATCAACTTGTTTTCTCCAGTGGTTTGAAGGTCGAAGCAGCTGTTCAGGAGTTGCTGACTTTGTGCTCCCTCTAACCACCCATTAAGGTGGCATTTCCTCCAGCTTACTGTTCATTTGAGCAGCAGAGAGGGTGCTTAGACTCATTTTATGGAGTGCCTGAGAGGCAGAAGCGAATCTAATTTCAAGGATCCTCTCTCTGGAAAATATAGGGCATGGTTAGTGGGGCATTTAGCTTGCTGGGTAGTTATTACTGGCACTGAGAAACTAGACCAGAAAATCTCTCTCATGAAGTATGCAAGTAACCATGAAGGACAGAGCTCTGAAATGTCAAGGTGTAGGTGTAATGATCTGATACAAAACCAGAACATCTACACCATTATGCTTCAGCAGGATCTTGGGTTCTTTTGCATAAACAGATACTGGGGTTATGAAATGTACATTTTTATTTGATTTGCATTCTATTTTTAAAATCTACTTAAGTAGCTAAGAGAATACGCCGTCCCCTTTTCCTTAAGTAGCTAAGAGAATACGCCGTCCCCTTTTCCTTATGACTCAGGGTGAAGTCTCTCTCAGGGAGGAGTGATAGGGAATGGCAAAGGATACACTGACAAAGAAGATTAATCAGAACTGGCTTTGACAAGCACTGTGGCATTTGGACAAGAACAAACTGGGAGGAGGGTAGAGAGAATAGTGCAACAATGAATGAGTGGAAGCCCAAAATCTCTGTAAATGTTTATGAAAATTAATAAAATATAATTATAGAAAAAAAATCTACTTAAGTACTGTATCTTATTTCTTTTTATTTCAGGTAAAGTTTCTAAAAAGGGAAACCTGGTGGTATAGGCCATGGTCAGCTGTGCTACTAGCTGAAGGGTTGTGTTTTTTAGTGGTTCGAATCCACCAGCTGCTCCATGGGAAAGATGGGCAATCTCTTCCTGTGTGATTTACAGCATCTGGAAACCTTTAGGGTTTGAATTGGTTCTGACTCGACAGCAATGCTTTTGAAGGTTTTACTACATTTTGATTACGTCCTATGCATCAGAGAGCTGGACTAAGGATGACAGAAGAAGGATCGATGCCTTTGTGGTGCTGGAAGAATGTTGAACATGTCATGGCCTGCCAAGAGAACAGGTTTGTCCTAGAGAAGATTAAACCAAATTGCTCCTTGGAGGCAAGGATTTTGAAGCTCCATCTCACATACTGTAGGCATGTTGTCTGGTGGGAGGGACTGATCCTTGGAGAAGGACATCTTGCTTGGGAGGGTAGAGGGATGGTGCCACAGAGGAAAATCCTGGATTAAATGAATTAACATAGTAACTGGGGTAATGGAGGCAAGTATGCCAGAGATAGTGAGATTGGCTAAGGATAGGACATAGGGTCGCTATGAGTTGCAAGTAACTTGATGGCACATAACAAAAATATGCTTTGATGTGTAACACTAGGAGTTGTCTCTGAAGTATGGCTCATCCGTGTGCTTCTGAAGCTATGACTCTTCTCAGTCCTCGATGGTTTTTATGAATCATCTGTCTTATGTTTGTGCTTGCCTCTGTCTAACCTGAGGACTCTGCTGAAGTAGCCCATAGGTGATGTTGTTATGTACTGTCAAGTCAGAACCAACTCATAGTTCACCCTCTAGTGAGTTTTTAGAGGCAGTTACTCACATCAGAAAGATTGTCCATTTTTCAAGGGTGGAGCAGCTGGTGGATTTGAACTGAGCACAGCTTCTTAGCACTAAGCCACAAGAGTTCCGTGTTCTAACGCTAAGGGTTCACCTCTCTGTTGGTTCAAACCCACCACTGGCTTCTCAGGTAAAGGATGGCAGTCTGTTCCCCAGTGATTTGCTGCCTCTGCAAACCCACTGGAGGGTCAATAAAGAGTGCGTTCTGACTTGACTGCAGTTAGTTTCAGGTTTTGGGTTTTCTATCTATTCTGCTTTTTAGAATTCAGGCCTGATTATGTCTAAGACATGCCCTACACTGATATGGGCCTCATATCATTGGAAACCTTGTTTCCAAATGAGACCACATCCTCCCTCTCTCCTTGCCATGCAGTAGGAATATATTCACAGCCGACATTCCAGCAGGTTTCCAAGGCTGTAAATCATATAGGCAGGAACTATTCACCTTTATCTTAATGAATTGGTTAGAGAGGAAAAGCCTTTGGATTATCAGCATAGCCTCCTGCAGACTTGCCACTAGACCATCCTTTTGTGGATGTTGTGCACCACTGAGTCTAAACCAACACACAGCTGAGCCAACTCCAGTGGGTTTTCAGAGGCAGTAAATTGCTTGGGAGGAGACTGCCTATCCTTTTCTTGCAGGGCACCTGGTGGATTCAAACCATCTGCCTTTGGGTTGGCAGAACAACTACTTACCACTAAACCACCAGTACTTCCTAGACTCCCCAGAACTTCTCTGGAAGTTGCTAGGCTTAACATCTTTCCAGGCCTGGTCTCATGAACTCTTGCTGTACCAACCAGCTGTATGTGGTGTGGAGCCTGACCAGGTCTTACACAGGGGCCACCTGGCTTCTCTGCTCCCATCACCTGGAATAGCAGCAGGTATCAGCTGGGCTGGCGCACAGGTGTATCTGGAAGTGTCAATGAGTGAACACTCCAGGGCAACCCCAGATCATTGGGGCTAGACAGTTTCTTTGCTATGCCTCAATTAGACTGAGACAGGTTTTGTATCTTCCTAAGTGAGTCCCAGCAAAACTGAACCCCAAAGTGCCCACCATGGGAACCACCATAGCAATGTACCCCAGAATGCTTGTTCTCGCCTTTCCTGTCTCCATTCTGTCTGCTCCCCATTCCAGTTCCCTAGAATCACTTCCCCCAGTCAACTTCCTGTGTAGAGGGCCCTGTCTCAGTCTATTTTAGGGGAAATGCTAGCCAAGGGAGTTGCTAATCTGTGTTAAATACAATTACAAGACAGAATACGTAACTCTTTATATTGAAATGTGTTAGAAAAAATGCAATATGAGATTTTTAGTGGTTAAAAAGAAATTCTCTGAGTTGGAATTTAGGGGAAATCAAAGCCAGAAATATGTCTTGGGGACTGTTTTTCTTTGCAGTACTAATATTTACATTAGGGGAGTTACATTGGAACTCAATGAAATTCTCTGGACATATGTGAGGTGCCCACCTTCCAAAGTCAAATCTGTGATGCTTGTGGTGTTTTTGATAAACATTAATAAACTGGAATACAAACATAGTTCTCTGAGAAATGAACGACGGTACAATCCAACAAACTTTGGTTCAAGTCAAGAGAGCTGAGTTCAAGGCTGTTAAGCTCAGAAAGAGCAAACCGAACTAAACGAAACCAAATGAGCAAACAAACAAAAAAGCCAAAACCACTTCAGAATCAGCCCAAGGTTGAGGTTTAAGCTACAGGCAAATGTGACCCAAATTTGAGAAACGAGTGTGGCACCAGACTAGAGACCTCCATCCAAAGCACAAGCCACATGATCGAGCTGTGTGTGTGGCTCAGAAACCCAGCAGTGCCTCATGCATTCTGTGCTCTCTGACTGAGAACATTAACACAATCAACCATTTAGGGCTTAAAAATACTCAAAACCAGGTTTTATTTGGTGATAGTTACACAAGGATAGTACAGTTGTAAAAATGCAACTCGCAAAGAAACAGAATGGAGGGTAAAATCTTCGGGACATCTTGAGGCAGTAGAAAAATTACCACTAATGCTACAGAGTTCATCTTCAAGTAACACGGCCAGCAAGGGACTGGCTTTAAAGATGGTCATTTCTATGTGGCTTTTGCCAAATCTCATGCCTGGAAGGATATGGTGGGAAGAACAATAGCTGGTGTGTGAAGATCAGATGTTGTTGTGAGGTGCCATTGAGTCGATTATGACTCACAGTCACCCAATGAACCAATGCTCTCTTACTCTGTCCTCACCATCTCTCAGCTAATTGTGCCTATTGTTAGAGATTTATTTTTTTTTTTAATTTTTTTTTAGTTGGGGAAAACCCCACAACCCTCACTTGAGCCTCCTGAGGAGATGAATCGATGTTATGTTGGCTAGAACACAGGGCTGGGCTGATCCACAGAAGGCCCACCTATGGGTGGGGAGAGTGGCAGTGAGATTAGGAGCCCACTGGGTATTAGGCCATCTCTATCAGCACCACTCCATCAAACAATGTGAGTTGCCTGGGGCATCGGAAAATACAATGACTGCATAAGTAAACATTAAACAGCTAGTTACACTTAGTGTTATGGTAATGTAGTATGCCCTGGCTGGGAGTGCTTGACCTGTTAATAGTTATCTATCTGGAAGGGTTAGAGTGTCAAGGGAGGGCAACATGAGTGACTTAAGGTAGAGTCACGTAAGAGTGGTCAGACCATATAAAATGAGTAAAGTGGCTATTTGATATAAAAGCTGGTGCAGTTTCTTTGGTAGACTTTATTGTATTTATTCTCTCTTTTGTTTTAAAAATGAAGTAAAAATAGAATCAATTTTTGGGTCAGCATATGAGGTATTAAGTTACGAATAAGCACCAAAATTGACCTTCCCCAACAAGTCGACTTGGCAAAAAAACATTTTCTGGTTTTTGCTCGCTCTTCCTCCGGCCGCAGCATCACAGGTTCTTCATGCACACCTGGCAGCGGCTGATGTGCGTCCGGATGAGCCCGGCTTTGAGGGTGTCAGCCGAGGGGGAGCCCTGGAAGTTCTGCTCGGGGATGGTGGTGAGCCAAAAGCTGTACTTGTTGGCATAGTAATGGCAGGTCCCTCGGCCCCCATTGCATTCGATGAAAGGTGTGGCCCGGAAGTCCTCCAGACAGCTGCCAGGGGACACCAGCGACTGTCCACCGCCTTCATCCCCTGCGGCTGTGTGCTGAGGAGAGGGAGGAGACAGAGGAGATTGGTCAATGAAAACAACTGAATTCAAACCAAACAAAACCCTTGTGACCAGGCATATGAGCAGGTTTTTGAGGCTGTAAATTTTGACAAGGGACCACTGGTGTAGTGTGTAAGGCAGGGGGATGGAATCCACCAGCTGGGAGAAAGATGGCCAGTCTTCTCTCCTGTGATTTATTGTTTCAGAAAACCTGCTGGAGGGTCAGCTGTGAGTTGGTTCTGATTTAATGACATGTAACAACAATGGTGGTGGTGGTGGTGGTGGTAGTAGTAGAAGATTTTAATGAGGGAACTCTGTTGGCCTAGTCAGTAAAGAGTTGCACTGTTAACCCAAAGGCCATTCCTCTCTGGTGCTTTGAATCATCAGTGGCTCTTTGGGGAGAAATGTGGGAAATTTCCTCTTGTGCCATTTATAGCCTTGCTGGAGGGTCAGGTATAAGTCAGTTCCAACTTAAGGGCAATGAGTTTGAGTTCTGAGTTTTTTAAATTAAAGGAAGAGGCTGCTCATTTTTATCCCACAGTCTCTGGGGGAATTCAAACCACTGACTTTTCGGTTAGCAGTGCAACACACAATGTGCTGCACCACCAGGGCTCATTAAAACAATCCTAGGGTATCTAAGCATCATCTGTTTGTTTATGGTGGAGTTTGTTTTCACTGACTATGCTGACTGGGAGAATGATGCAGCAGTCTGCTTCCAAAAAAGACTGTTGTTGCTATGTGCTGTTGATTCAGATCTGACTCATAGCTGACCTGCCAGTGGGTTTTCAGAGGCTGTAAATGGATCAAGAGAAGACTGACTATTTTTCTCCAGTGGAGGAGCTGGTGGATTTAAACAGCTTGCCTTTGGGCTGGTGGTGAAAGAAAGATTATAGTCTTTAAAAACCCTATGGCTCTGTTCTATAAGGGTCACAATGAGTCAGAATGTACTGGTTGGATTTTGTTTGGTGGGGTTTATTTTACTGAAAAACAAAAACAAAAACAAAACAAAACAAAACAACCAAACAAAAAACAAACCCCCAAGAACATGTATTCTGGCAACATAGTACCCAGAATCAAGGAGAAATGTTATTTTGCCTCCTCATTTATATATTTGCCATTTTTACTAGATAGTTTTTCCAAGTGATGTTGGCTATTATTATTATTAGGTGTAATTATTAGGGTTCATATTCACCCTCTGTGACCCCACAGAGAAAAAAAAAACCCCAAAACTGCCCACGGGGTTTTATAGGCTGTAATCTTTATGGAAGGGGTTAAATCAACCAGCCATTCCACAGGAGAATGATGCGGTGGTCTGCTCCTACAACAATTACAAAAATGATGATAATTTACATAACCCACCCCAAACTCACTGCCACTGAATTGGTTCTAACTCACGGAGACTCTCCATCAAGGGTTTGAAGTCATCAGTCAGAATGGGGGAGACTGCCAATCTTTCTCCTGAGGAGCAGCTAGTGGATTTGAACTTCTGAAGATGCAGGGGCTTTGGTTAGCAGCGCAACACCTTACAGACTAGGACACCGGAGCTCCCTTTATAAAGATCTTAGGGAAATCATAGGGGACAGTGCTACTGTATCTCACAGGGACCCTAAGAGTTAGAATCAACTTGAAGACAGTGGATTTGGGTTATTTTGGTTTAGTTAATCTTTAGGGGAGCAGATCATCAGCCATTTCTCCTATGGAGTGGCTCGGTGGTTTCAAACTGCCAACATTTGTTGGGCAGGTGAGGACTTAAGCACTCTGCTGCTGAGGTTCCATTTTTTTTCATGTAAAAATTTTACTTTCTTTCATTTTCATATAACTTTAGCTTTTATTAGAATGACGAGTTCCCTGTATATCATCCTTTCTTTCTAACTGGCACACAGGAGAAAGATGGACAATCTCCTTCTGGGCAATTTACAGCCTCTGAAAACCTGCTGGAGGGTCAGCTATGAGTCAGTTCTGGCTCACTGGCACATAAGAGCAACAATAAAATATATATGCATATATCTACACACACACACACACACACACACATGTACATTTGATTTGGTCTAGCAAGCTTTGAATGGCAAATGAGTTCAGAACACAGTAATTCAGAAGAGGTCTACCTCAGTTACACTTTGCAGGTCCTTAAAAAAATATAAAAGTTCTATTTGTTATTTTTGGACAGTGGCCCCAGTTTAGGAAAAGACAAAACAGCAAAAAAATTCCAAAACAAAATAAAGCTCTTTTAGAAGTTTCTCTTTATAGAGCACTGAACCTTTCCAACCCCAAGAAAAGCAGACAGAGCTTCACAAGGCAGCTCAGGTCAGACCTCATTTGGAACTAAAACAGCAGAGGCCATGGTCTGAGCTGCAGGGTGAACACTGGGACAAAAACAAACCCAAATAAAACAAACCCTTCAAACTCGTTGCTGTTGAGTTGGAACCAGCTCATAGCTGCCCCTGCAGTGGAATACTGAAGCAGTAAATCCCATGGGAAATTTCTCATTTAGTGTTGCTGATGGACTTCAACCACCAGAGGGGTGCAACATATGAGACAGTCACACAATTCCCTATGGAAGATGCCACTAGAACTCCCTGGTGAAAGAGCTCACCGAGAAGGACACCTCAAAAGAAGCCACCCTGACAGGACAGGACGTTGCCTCCGAGGTTGGCTATGCTGCCCGGGAGGCAGTCTGTCTCTCTCGTGGCATCTCGGAGCTTGGCCCCTCTATCTACACCCCTGTCCCTTGGCTTTGGGTCTCACAGCAGCTAATGTCTCTTAAGAGAGTCACTTTGACAAGTCACCAAATCCTAATCAGTGACCTTGGACACATTCTCAGTCAGTGTGGACCTTGTAAGTAGCTGGAATCTTAAAAAGGACATGGGAAACAATGGCTGACTAGATATCCAGAATCCCCACAGACCAGTTTTAAAGGCTGCTTTGTGAATTGAGGTCCTGCTATAAATGGTGGGCCACCTCTCTGTCCCCAGGAGATCCTCCCTTTTTGTCCTTGGTCCCAGCCCGACTCTCCGAGGGCAGGAAGAAACCTCATAGGAGTTCACTCATGTTAGGGGCTTAGGAAGAATGAGCCAGGCAAAAAAGAGGGGCCTCTACACTGCTCCCCTGGCTTCTGAAGACCAGTAAGCAGCTGTGTCCTATCCTTTCCAAAGTCAGCTCTCATACTATGATGTCAGGGGCTCCTAAGCCCTGGAATCTGCACCCTTAAGGAGTGGATCAAAGGACACTGAATGTGCATATGAGACACATAACCTTGGCTTCAGGTCTCCACTTCCTATCAGGCAGACAGACATATTTAGAGATGCAACAGTTAAACAGATCAGCTCACTTATCTGTCATGAATGCCCAGGGACTTTATCTGTGGTTCTCAGAAGTCAAGCTATTTCAAATTCATCTGCCCTGATTCCCTGCTGTATATGCACGGCGAGAGGACCCTGTCACTGTCTTATCACCCGCACCTTCTGTGGAATGTCATGTTCCAGGCTTGCTCGGGTTATTAGGCATTTAAGCAGAGGATAATGTGTGCAAATCCTATTAGTCTGCTTTAAAGATATTAATTTGAAATGTAATTGCCAATGAAAGAAGGAACTTCTATGACCTTTTTTGGTTCCATGTAATCAGACTTCATAAGGGAGGAGGCTCATTTATTTTTTAATTTAGCAATGGGAATTTAAAAAAACAACACAACACAAGCTTGTATCTCCTACCACACAGTGACTCTAAGAAGGTTATTTTGAAATGGTGTAGGATCCCTCAGTCACTTTACAATGAGCTTGTGGAAAAAGTAGAAATTGTACTTATTATGACAAGGAATTTAGCAACCTGCTCTTCAAATTATTGTTTCAATAATCTCTTTAAAATACCACTATTAATATACCTTTTCCTTTAGTATAGTCCCTTCCTTTCCAATAATCTAGACTGCTTTGTGTTGTTTGACAAGATGAGCAATCATTATATAATTTTTATATTTTATATTATTCAAGTAGGGAGCTCTGGTGGTTACACACTGTGCTAACAGAAAGGCTGGCAGTCTGGACCCAGCAGCTGCTCTGAGGAAAAAAAGATAGGTTGTCTCCTCCTGTAAAGATTCATAGCCTCGGTACATGACAAAGGGTTGCTATGAGTTGGAACTGACTCAGTGGCAGTGAGCTGTTATTTATATAATATATGAAATATACCAGCAGTGTAATTGGAGCAATAATGATCATAATAAATGGCAATGGAATGAACGACCCACTGTCCTCAACTCACCTTTTCATTCTTCCTACATGTATTTATTGAGCAATAGAATTGTAAGAGCGATTACAATGGTCCATTCCCTTCCCTTGATTCACCACTGTGAATCTAAAGGCTCTCTGAAATTTACTCCATAAGTTACTCCATAACTCAGCAGTGCAACCAGATTTAAGTCAGTTAACTTTCTGGAAAGTATTTTAGTTTTCTGATAGATCCTATATAAAATTATTTAGATTCTAAATTTTTTCATATATTTGGCTCTCTGGTAAACCAAGGATACCTTTACCTTTGTTGTGTTTGGTAATATGGTCAAGAGGCCAAACATATCCCAAGTCTAGTGTTGCTGTAGGCCATATACATGGTTGACCGCAAAGTCATTAATGGGCTAACTTCAGGTGAGAGAACCCTTGACCTTGGCACATGGCTCACTTAGCAAAGTGAAGGCTGTATTCTAGCTCTCCCTTCTCCTGCTGGTCAAGTGCCCTTGTGTGGTATACAAACTCAACAACCAACTGTGTCTTCCCTGTTTGCTAATTCTTACAAAGGCTGCTATGCCTGCTGTTTACTCAGTTTGGGCTCTGTGCTCTAAGAGACAGGGAGCAAATTGCACATACCATGAGGAAGGAATAGCCGATCCACAAACTCCGCCAGCCAGCAGGGCAGTGGGGAATGGAGACATCTTGACTGTGGACCGCTATCGCCACGGCTGGAGCCTCGCATACAGAGCAGCGGCTAATGTAGGGCTTGATGTCATCTTCTGCCACAGGCATCATGGGTAGTGGGGCAGTGGTGGAGAGCCAGTAGGACTTATCGTTCCGGCTAGCATAGTAGCAGATATCACCAGGATTGCAGTACAGGAAAGGCATAGTGCTGAACCGTGCCAGGCAGGAGCCTGCGAGACCTACCAGGAGAGACGAGCAAGCTTGAGGTCACCACTGAGTGCGGCGGGGAAGATGTTCCTTCCTCCCAACCCTGTCCAAGCCCACAGAGGCTCCAGATAAGCCCGCAGAGGCTCCAGATCCTGGATGTGCCTGCTGTCCATGGCCATTTGTGCAGATTTCAGCCATGCATTGGGGAGATGACATTAAAGATTTAAAACTTTTTTCATAGACTACACCGTTCATCTAGAATGTCTCAAATATACTACCACACACATTCAGAAGTCAGATGAGCTGGGAGATGTGGATTTAGGGGTTAGCATCTTGGGTGAATCCTATGTTAGGGGGATCTTATGGGAACCAGGCCTGAGGAAATCCTGATAAATTTCCACATGAAAATAATCTTCCATTATATCCTAAAATCTCTGTCCCCATGAAAGTCTAGCTAGTCCCAGGTCCCAAATAACTCATTTCTTCTGTGTTAAAAAAAAATACCTACTGGTACAAGTGACTTAAATAACTTAAGCAAATTTCCCTTAAAACACTGATTGCTTAGAAGCTTGGAGCCAAATTTGCAGCTCCCTTTAGCATATATGCCAAGTATTATGGCCTGCCTTTTTAGCCTCATACCCAGTTCTAGGATATGTCTTTAATCTTGTTTGCTCCACTCAAAACAATGCAAAACAAAACTTATGCAGGTACAGCACATATGCATGAATGTGCACAAACTTCAGGGACTTATTTAACTTGATAATTACTTGCAAATGGAAGACAGTGGTGTAACCTGTTCAGAGATCAAGAAATGGAACAGCATCTCCTGTCCCTCAATCCAAGCTAATGACTGTCTGGTGATAGGATATCACAGACGAGTTAGTTTCCTTTCACACACACTTTTAACATCTAATGTTTGCTACTTTTCTTGTGTTCTTTTAATTCCTCTTTGGCATGCAGGCTTACTTGAATAAACACATATGCACATATATGCATTTGCAAAACATGCATTTTCCAGGGATAGTTCTCTACAGGGAGGTCTGACATTAATGCCAGGCTGAGTGCAACTCAGTTATAGAATTTGAGCCAAAAATTAGGAAGAATTGGCCCCCAGCTGGCGAGGAGACAATCTTCAGATAGAGCCCACTGGAGTCTGCAGAAGTTGTTGTCACATAAAAAGCAGGTCCTTGCATTACTGCTCTGAGATGGGGTCCATAGATGCGTGCATCAAAGGCCACTTTAATCTCTTCTGAAACCTCTAAGAATGCGGATTTACCCAGTGCCATCAATCAGTGCAAACTCATCCATCTTAAAGAAATTAATGAATCTCACAGGGGCCTTTTGATCTTGACCACCCCCAGGTCCAGGAACTAAGCGGGTCCAGGGGAGCACCCACAGGCGAGGCTTACCCAGATCCTGGTTGTGGGCTTTCTCCTGGCCTTCAAAGTACAGCAGGCTGTATCCACTCCAGAGCTTGTTCATACCCACTGGGCACATAGGTTCCTGGTCTGTCTGGCTGTGCTTCACCAGGAGATAGCCGATGCTGACGCTGCGGCCGGGCATCCCAGGCAGGCCGGGGGTCCCTGGACGGCCTGGCTCACCTACAGCCCCAAACAAAAGTAGTCCCTTTTAAATGCCAGCTTCCATCAGAGCTCTCGTGGCCTCATCCTTAGGAAGTTGTGCTTTTACTCCAAAGGCTATGCTTCTCAGCAGTTCAAATCCACTAGTAGCTGTGAGAAGGAAAGACAGACAATTTCCTCTAGTGTGATATAGAGCCTTGGAAACTCAGTGGAGGGTCAGCTATGTGTCAGTTCCAACTCAAAGGCAGGAAGAGAGAGGAGAGAGAAGAGAGAGGAGAGAGAGGAGAAAGGAGAGAGGAGAGAGTGCGCGTGCTATTCTATCCAGTCACCCTGACTCATGGTGATGTGTATCAAAGCCTCTTATTGCTTCATAGTATTTTTAATGTCCGATTTTTTTTTTTTTAGTTAGGCTGCCAGGCTTTTCATTCCCAATACCTCTGAGTAGACTCAAAGTTGATAATCTTTCAGCGAGTAACTACTCAGGGAATACAGGCACCTTTTTATAAAAGTTGCCCTGAGAACCTCAGGACCACAGTGGGCAGGCAGACTTAGCTGTGATGTCAGAAAGATAAATTTAGAATATGCTTCTCTTCTTTCCCTGCAAAGCTTGGGTCTTCATGACTTTACCCTTTTTAGACAAAGAGCCTCTTGGGGAAAAGTTGGCCTAACTGCAGTGCTCAGAAAACCTGAAATAATGACAATGACAATCTTAAACAAGCAGGATGCGGTCTCCTGCACAATAGGTCCCAGACACCTTCAGGGTATGTTCAATGCTGAGAGAGAACTATAATGGCTTGGAATTGAAAAGATAGGGGCCTAGTGTGTTCCATGTCAGTCTGTCAACAAAAAGATGATCTGAATCCACCAGCTACTCTATGGGTAGTCCCCTCCTGTAAATATTTACAGCGCCAGAGACCCAACAGAGGGTCTCCTGTGAGTTGTGGTGGACTTGGCCTCAGTGGCTTCAGTTTTGGTTTGATCAGAGTATCTAAGAACAGCTCTATCCACTGCACAGATCTCTGCTCTAAACAGCTGGCCGCCACTTGCTGGGCACTTCTGGGGAGAGGAGAATTGTTACATGTTCAACATATTCTCCCCCTTTAACCATTCCAGGGATCTGAACATACGTTTTCACACTGAGTAGCAGCCGGTCTCTTATAGGCAGATGCTTTCTCTGGAGCCCAGGAGAACGTCTCGCCTGCCTCTACCACACCAATCTCTCAGCTCTTTGAAATCAGATCCTCTTAGTGATCCTGTCTTCCCGCTGTCCCCTCCCCTGTCTAAAGGTAATTTCTCATCCCATGCCTTATCACATGACATCATTTCCTTATCTTGCACAATGTCGGTTTACTTCTGGGTGGACTTTAATTCATCATCTTAAGATGTGGATCTTGCATGCTATCATATCGTCTGGCCATGGTTCAGTCTCACAGAGACTAGGGGACTGCTGTTCCCTTTGATCTGGACACCAATAACACATGGCCATAAGCCAATTTTCACAGCTGTTCAGATGACTGACTTAAATTCAGATAAGGTTAAATCAATTTAGTATCAAGTTTGGTGGTTGCGCTCCCACCCCACCTCCCCATGAACTGCTATTATTTTGAGCTTATCCTACCTATCCTGTAGGATCACTAGTGGTATAGTGATTGAGTGTGCCTGCTAGCTGAAAGGTTATCAGTTCAAATCCACCAGCTACTCATTGGGAGAAAGATGTGGCATTCTGCTTCCATTAAGTTTACAGCCTTGTAAATATTGTGAGGTCTAACAGGTTCACAATGAGTTGAAATCAATTGCAGTGATGGGTTTTTATCCCATCCCTGAACATGTAGAAATTATTTTAAGAAAGAAAAAGGCAAGACTTTATAGTGGTCTCAATTTATTTCTTTTAGTTTTAGCATCCCAGCTCTTTAAGACTCTTTATGATAGTGTATCAATTATACCTCCAGCTCAGAAGCACCTATAAATTTCTCAGAGAAAGGAAGAAAGCTGGTGTGTTCTGGCACCATCTCTGTGACCTGTAGAAGCACAGATGTCACAGCACGTGAGCACCACTGCAAAGGCTTTTGGAGAGAAGCTAGAGGAGTGTGGCAACTTCTTAGCTGTTTTCCCTATTTGCTCTCCAAAGGGGAGTAGGGCTTGGCTCTTGGTCAAAGCGCCTCATTAACAGCTACCTTCCATCTGACAGTGGATTCATGTTTGCTGCTATGATGCTGAGTATGTGTGAAGAGCTTCTACACTAAGATGGGCTAGGAAAAAGACATGGAAATTTACTTAGAAAAATTAAGGAAAACCCTGTGGATTACAAGGGTTTGATGCACAACTGATTATGGGGCTGGTATAGGACTGGATAGCATTCTATTCTGCCGTGCACAGGTAGCTGGGAATTGGGTCAGTTAATGTCAGCCAACAAGAAGAATTTATCACACCAACATGGGCCATGGCAGAGACTCTGTGCCCTTTCTCCTTTTATCATTCATCACTTACCTTCTTGACCAATTGGGCCCTGATGACCCATGGGTCCTTGGTCGCCACGGAATCCCGGGACAGCAGACACGCCACCTCTTCCCTGGGGACCTGACTTTCCTGGTGTTCCACGGAAACCTAGAGAGCCACCAAAATGAGGGTGAATGTACCTGGTAACAGGTGACTGCACTTGGCATAGCTAGTGCCTACCACACGAAATGAAAAGGAGAATAAAACCAGAAAAAGAATACTTTCCCTGGAGACGCTACATGAAGGGCTTCAAATGATACACCAACTCCGTGCTCCTACCTGGTTCTCCTGGGGGGCCCTGGGGCCCCATCTCTCCCTGTGCCCCAGGAGGACCTCTCCTTCCTTGAGGGCCCAATGTTCCTGGTTCAGCAGCAATTCTCTGGGGGATTCCTGCAATCCCTGGGGATCCCACAGAACCAGGGGCACCTGGAAAGGAAGAAAGCTTGCAGTGAATACATGAACATCACTTGGGAGCAGATCTTATTTTCTAGAGATGAGTGTGGTAAGATACTCACTGGACAGGCAGTCCAGGGTCTGCCACTTAAGAAAATGAATATTCATTCACCCAACCCCTGGGAGGGTAGTGGCAGGCTCAGAGCAAGTCGTAATGTCTATTTGCAATACAGACCTTATGACCTCACACCCAAGAAAATGATGAGAATCTGAAATCGGAAACTGACTCCTCACCAGGATAGTTTCAGGACCAAGAACAGATTCCTAGGAGTCCATGCATGGCCACAGTTGTCCCAAGATGGTACCTTGTGCAACTTTGCAAACAGGCACTTACCGGGGAACCCTCTGTCTCCTTTGGGTCCTTTGGGACCTCTGTCACCCACACTTCCTGTTGCACCAGTGTTTCCCATGAATCCTTGTTCACCTCTGGGTCCTTCAACACAAACAAGTCATTGTTAGCGTACACATCCCCAGCCTTCCATGACCAATGCTGTTTTCCCCCCAGACGAGAGACTTCTTAGGCTTGGCCACCATTACCTTTTTCTCCGGGGAGACCAAGCACACCGGGTCGGCCTTGGGCACCAGGGTCTCCCACCCATCCTTTGGTCCCTGGGTTTCCCACAGCTCCGGGATTCCCTGTGTCTCCTTTGCTTCCAGGGGGAGCAGCAGGTCCAGGTTGGCCTGGTGGGCCTCGGTAACCTATTGACATCAATCACAAAAAGTATAAACAGTAAGATGGAGTTTCCTCTGACAACAGTAGAAGATGCTGGGGACTCAACTCTAGCCTGCCAAATGGCAAGGCTATTCTGCGAGTGGATTATCTTTGCACATTTTAACACTCAGCGACTGTTCCTCATACCATCTCTTCTCCACAGTCAGCTAACATGTGGTTAGGAGATGTGAATTAAATTTAGTATTTGTCTAAGGACAATGTCATGAAGAAGAAGAAGAACCATTGTGTGCTGTTAGTTTTCAAGCTCGTTCCCATTTAAAAAATATGATCCTACAGCAAGTGCAACATGGTGTAGTTTGATTTCCTAGTGATTGTGAGAGTAGAAATAGCGGAGGGTTTTTCTCGTCTGATCTGGGCATGGAATAGCATGGGCTTCCGCTCTTTACTATTGCTTCTTGGGAAGTATATGAACATTCTCCAGCTCTTGCCCTCGAGTTTTCAATGCATAATTGCGTAAACCTTATTTTACCTTGTAGGCCAAATATTCCTGGTGCCCCTATGTCACCAGGTGGCCCTGAGATGTTGGAAGAGGGTGTGACACCTGGAAATCCCTGCAGTCCTGGACTCCCCATTGGACCTCGTTCCCCTTTGGATGAAAACAAAAGACATTATTCTCAATGTTAGAATAGGCATTTTCTACATATTATTTTTTTTTAGGGAATCATCTATCAAGGAACAGAAGAACCACTAAGGACCAGAGATTGTGCAAAGATTTTCTAAGGGCAAAGAACATCTCAAGGCACAGGGCAGGGGCAGGGAGGCAGAGCCACGACTCATTAGGAGGGCTCAGCTCTACCTGCCTGTTCATTGCCCTCCTTGGACACCTGGCCCCAGTCAATCCCAGAATCCTTATCAGTGTGGTTTTTATCCTCATGTGCCCTCCACTTGGCTCCTGTGACAGCTTGGCAGAGTCTGAGCCTCAGCAACACACTTGGCAAAGAAAGGAAAGCTCAAACTCATTTATATTCTTAGTTGGTGAGAGCTGGGTTGATGTGCTGAGGCGGTAGGCTGCAGTACTGGCACACTGAGGGCTATCCATCGCATTCGTACATTCTCCATGGGATTTTCTGTCAGCATCTTATATCCCTGCTATCACTGGTTGACTCAAAAGCACTGGTAATTGATAGACCCTGGAGGGAAATGATCCAACTAAGGAACTCAGCGAGCATTCGGCTCCTCTCTGGTATCAGTTAACAGGATGTTTACTAACTGACTATTTTGTGTAGGGGCGGGATGCAGGTGTTGCAGTCACATGGACGAGTGGAACACCCTGCCTGTCTTGGAGCTGCACATTCAGAGCAGAGGATCTCCAATTTCTCTCCAAGTCACAGTTCCGTCATGTGTTTTTCATCAATGTCTAGGGAGTGAGGGATTAAAACCAAGATGGTAACAGAACAAAACAAAATAATGCCAAGGATGTCACAGGGTCTACAATTAGCCTCATTTTAATGCTCAAAGAAAGAGGGGTGGGGCAATCCATTTAGAGTATCTGGAATTCAAACAGAGTGATTCCTTGTATCCTTCACTCTTCATGTCTGTGTGAGAATCTATCCCCATGAGTAACATGAAAACCAAAACATCACAGGCATCATCAAGTCAGCTCTGACTTAGAGCGACCCTGTAGGACCAAGCAGAATTGCCCCAGTCGGTTTCTGAGGCTGCAGATTTTCATAGAAGAGATTATTACATCTTCCTCACAAAGATCAGCTGGTGGGTTCAAACTACAGACCTTTTGGCCAGCAGTCCAACACTTAGTCCAAAGCACCATGCAGGCTCTTTCAGAGACACTAAAAGATTGTCTTATTAGAAGGGGTTGCTGTCCATCATCAAGAAAATGATTACGTGTGTGCATGTTTGTGAGTGGGACTAAGAAAGCAACTGCCAGGAGAACCATTTAGAAGAGCATCTCTTTAGTTCCACTAATTACAGCCAACGATCAAGCGGCTTCATTAGACCTGAGGGGTTTAAGGAGTGGCCATCTGTAGTTTGAAATAAAATGACAGCAATTGAACTTCTTCTAACTATTATCATAAAGCAACCCAAACAGATGGTGAGCGTCAGTGAATAATGGCAAAAAAACTTCAGAGTTAAATGATCCAGTTAAATCCCTATATTGGCTGGATTCCCACAAAAACATAATTAACTTAACTGCAGTGATTAGGATGCTGTTAATGAGAACATTTAGCAAACAAGAGTCCTGTTGGTAGAATCAGAATCAAAACAATTACATTTTTTCCACAGCCCCCCTTTGATCTTCTTAACAACCGGAATGAAAAAAGCCTGACTAATGGAAAGCCGAGGAAAAGCCATTTTGCATAACGGATAACAATTATGCATGAACTGATACCTGAACGTCAGCTGCAGAAACAGTTGAGGTGGCACATTCTAGCATAAATGCTTTAGATGAGAGTCACCCAAGGGGAGACAATACACTGGAGTTAGTCCCACAGTCTCAGAGAAGAGTTAGAGTCCTGACAAGCCATCTGTGAATGTCACGACAGAGAGTACTCTTTCCCTCATCACATCCGCTGTGGTCCAGTGGGCAGAATGAAGCCCCTCCTCTGCTTTGGCCTCTAGGAATTGCTTTGAAGTCACCAGCTCCTGGTTCTGGCGCTGGGTGACTGTGACTTTCAAACTGGAGAGAGGTAGGTGGAGGAGGGCGGGTAGTGACTTTAAAAAACGAAAAGAGGCATTCTTTCATAGGATTGTCTGGAGGCGGGAGACAGGTCAAGCCCTCTTAGATGGAATGCAGAAGGGGGTGCAGAAGTTTCAACAAAAGTTTTATAAACTGATGCTGCGTAGGTTGAATGTGATAATAACCCAACCTGCTGCAGCAGATGTTTTGACTCACAATGCACCAATACAACAGGACAGGACTGTCCCATATGGTCTCCAAAGCTAGAAATTTTTATGAGAGCAGGTGGTCACATCTTTTCTCCTGTGGAGCAGCTGATGGGTTTGAACCATCATCTTTTTGCTTAACAGCCAAGTGCTTTAATCATTATACCATCAGGGTTCCTAATGTAATAAATAACTCAAGTAATCCCACTGCTACTGAGTCTGACTTCTAGTACGTTAGGCATGAGAGATAAGGGATACTCTAGAGTCCACAGAAATGTTTCCACATACTGTTGTCCAAATGATTCTCCATTTCAGAAGTCTTTAAAGAGTCTAAAAATCTTAGACTTTAGAGAGTCAGATGCAGTCTGTGAGCCTTGCCATACCACCATCAGAGGTGATCATGGTCAGTGGGTATTCACACTTCCTGGGGTGCAGACATCTCTTCCTGTGAGTTCTTTGGTCCTGGCCTTTGAGGGAGCTCTAAACCAGAGCAGCTAAGAGCTTTCTGCATGGAAGACTGAGTGTTTCTGTCTCCAGCTGGAAGCCCAGTGTGTGACTGGGACACTCAGTCCCAGTGTACTGTCTATCCTCAATGTTAGTCACACAGATGCTGCTTGGCTCAAAGCTGCCCCCAGTGGTCAATGAACTGTGGTGCAGAGGGAGGGAGCCCCACATGTGGTCAGACAACACACACTAGGGCTAGTAAACTCATACTCAATGAAACTTTAGCACTTTTAATAAACTGTAGCTCTTAGATACTGATTTATGTCTTTACCTAGGAACTTAACTCCATCTCAATTTAGGCTCAAGGACACTTTGCTTGGTGAAAAGAGCAGGCTGGCAGTGTAGAAGAAATTTCTTTCTCAGCAACTAAGACCACATGGTTAGCTCCTATCCAAGTGCCAAGATCATGTACCCCAGCTCAGGCCCGAGGCTGTAATGTATTTATTCATTTATCTCTTCAATATTCAGAATGCCTGTTAGGGACAAGGTACTGTGCGAGGTATCCTGGGGGTATAGTGAGGCTGTCTTCATTCCCCCTGTCAAGGAGTTTGTCATTAACTGTTAAGAGATGGATGGTCAACAACGAACTCATGCCAAGAGAATAAAATAATAGATGATAATATATTGTCGCTGTTAGGTGCCGCTGAGTCGAGTACAACTCATAGCAACCCTATGAATAACAGATCTGAACTCTGTCCTGTCCTGTGTCGTTCTCATCAACTGACACACTTGGGCCCATTGCTACAGTCACTGTGTCAGTCCATCACTTTGAAGGTCTTCGTCTCTTCTGCTGACCCTCCACTTTTCCAAGCATGCTCTCTCCTTCCAAGGAATGGGTTCTCCTAGCAACATGCCCGAAGTATGAGACGAGAAATTTTGTCATCTTCGCTTTCAAGGAGCACTCTGGCTGCACCTTTTCCAAGACATATCTATTTGTTCTCTTGGCAGTACTCCTCTCCAACACCACAACTCAAAGGCAGCAATAATTCTTCTAACATCCTTATTCATTTGTCCAGCTTTCAGAGGCAGAGCAAGTGACTGAAAATCACGGCCTGACTCAGGCACACTTTAGTCTTCACACTGACACACTGCTCTTCAGTATTCTGGAGTGGTCCCTAAGTGTAGACTTGTACAATTTAATATGCCTCTTGATCTGACTGCTGGTACCAAGGGTGTTGGTTATGGATCCAAGAAAGATAAAATCACTGACAAATTCAATCCTTTCTCCATTTATCACTATGTTGCCTACTGGCCCTGTGGTGAAGATATATATTTTCTTGATGTTAAGATGTAATCCCTATTATTAAATCCTTGTAAGCAAGTTGCCTGTGCTGTGCCTGTGGGCCATTAGGCCGGCAGCAGACCTTGGTAAGCAACCAGAATATAATACAATAGAGTATAAATTATGGAAGAGTAGCTAAGAGATTCTGTAATGAAAAAATCCTCAAAGATACCAGTCCTTTCTTACCCTTCCCTCTAGCTGATCTCTCGGACTCTCTGGTAGTCCACCTTTGGTTGAGTTCTGATGGCGTAGTGGTGGTTATCATTTCTGACCATAACAATTCTATGACCTGTGGTGGTGGTGGTGTTGTGTGCCACAGAGTCAGTACCAATCCATAGCTGACTGTCCAGCAGGTTTTCAGAGGCAGTTAATCACACGGGAGGAGACTATCCTTCCTTTTCCCATGGAGCAGCTAGCGGCCTCCAATGGCGCGCCTTTATGATTGCAGCGCAGCTTTTTGCCACCAGGCCCCCAGAGCTCCCTTAACCCTCTAGAACCAATTGAAATGGTCCCATTAGACTTGCTATGGAAACTCCAAGGAGCAGATCACCAGAACTTCTGTCCTGCAATCTTTTGGTTAGCAGCCATCAGGACATCTTGGGTTCTGGTTAAGTAGATAGCAAAGCTTGTTTCGGAAACGCCTGGCCTCACCTGGTGCTCCTGGCTCCCCTTTGCGTCCTGGTATTCCTGCAAAGCCTGGGAAGGTGTTGGGCTCTCCTCGGTCACCTCTGTCTCCAGTAGTGCCTGGGAAACCTGGCTCCCCATTAATGTCTGTACCTGTGGTCGAATCCAAACCAGCAGTCCATGTCAGTGCTTTGCAATCAGTCAGCGTTAATTTTCAGACACGAAATAACACAAACATGCATCAATGTAAACAGAAGAACAGAATGCTATCAGGGTGATTTCAGCTTGCTGTAGGGTCTCCACTGGACGAAGCCTGAGATTTGGAAGGATGCTAGTGATCACAGTTGAATTTCTGTGCTAAAGGTGAAAATAATAATTAAAAAAGACCCCAACACCAGTTGAGAGTGGAGGAGGCCCCTTAGCCTTTGCGTACCTGGGGATCCTGGTAAGCCCTTAGTGCCTGGTAACCCGTGAAGTCCAACAAGGCCTCGGACGCCCGGAAGACCTGCAAGAATTTCATTCATTATTTCATGCACAGGAGAGGAAAGAGGGCTCGTGATGGGTAGAAATCCTTAGATAAATTCAGAAATATTTTTATCTGCTATGATCCTGTGGAACTCTGGTGCCCTAGTGGTAAGAAGCTGTGCTGCAGTTCCTCAGGCAACCATTTCAAATCCACCCAGGAGCTTTGCGGGAGAAGGATGGGCAATCCTTCCCCCTGTGATTGCCCCTGAAAACCCGCTGGAGGGTCAGCTCTGGGTTGATTCTGACTTGAGGGCACACAACAACAACAATAACAACAACATGATCGTGTGCATCTTATCCAAACTCCCTGTAAATATGTAACAGATGTAAATGAATTACTTTTAACTGTTACTCAGGCATGCCACCTAACATTTTTTCTATTTTTAAAATACGGAATGCTTTACGAATTTGTGTGTCATCCTTGCACAAGGGGCCATGCTAATCTTCTCTGTATCATTCCAATTTTAGTATATTTGCTGGTGTAGCAAGTACAATATTAATTTTTTTGTAGACTTGTTAGAGGCAGAAAGGAGCTGGGAAATGATCTGTTCCCGTTCTCTTTCTGCCACTTTAGTCACTGGTATATATTTGGTTTGTGAAAACGGTTGGGAAGAAATAGCCTGGCATGATTTCTATTCTCTCTGGATTTCTGAGAGTAAATATTGCTAAAGTAGGCACTGGTAGCAGGCGGCAGTTGCTTCTGTGATGTGGGTAGGGAGTGTGGCAAAATGAACACGTATGATGTCTAGGAGTGCAGAGGCGATGTGGGCACCTTTGATTCTGTGCTCAGAGAGACCTAGAGCCTGACTCACTGGGGCCTGGCAGCCCTGAGCCTACAAGTCTGCCTAGTCCTCCCTTCACATCCAAAGCAAGAGATCAACAGGGAAATTCACACCTGTCCCTTGCTCTTGCCCAAGCACTGCCCTTCAGAGACTGACGAGTAGGTCCCAGAACCTCCTTGAGATGATTTCCAGTGATCTTTTCTGGAAGCAAACACTTCTTTGGAGATTAGAGTGATAATATTCTGAGTGATTCAGACAGTCACAAACTGTTCTCTGTGTGTTTTTGTGTCTTCAGTGAACCATGACAGTCTACAAGTCTTAAAGACAACAGCTTTAAGAGAGGCTAGCCTGGCTAAATAATGCTGCTTCCAATTCCCGGCAACTTCGACTTGGACTAATCCTTTGTGTTTTGTGTTTCCCATAAGGAAAGGATTGTTTTACCTGGTAAGCCTGGAGTTCCCTGCCAGCCATAATCTCCTTTTTCGCCAGGCAGTCCAGCCCGGCCAGGATCCCCTTGTGGTCCCTGAAGTCCCGTTAACCCTGGAAAGCCTGGGGGGTAAACACATCATTAAATCTGAGAACACAGGGAAAACTTGACTCTTAGAAGCAAAACAAGATTCTTAGAAGAGCTTGCCTGGTGCCTCAAGCTCACTGCACTGGTTGGAGAGAAAGTAGGCTTGTGATAATGACTGAAGGACTCTGTTAGACAGTAGCTGCAAGTCTGTCAAGTAATTACCCTTCTTTTAAGCCTGAAGTGCCTATGGCCTTTAACATCCACATTCAAGTTCAACAGGATTAGCTTGACTTTGCCAAGGAGGAAATTGTTTGTGTTTTTTATTGTTATCCTATCATCCAAATATAAGTGGAGACTGGAAAGTCTATAAAATGGCTCTATAGGAGATTCTGCCAAGCTTCTCTGAGTTCCTAAATGCTGGGAAAAAACCAAAAGCAGCCACAACAAAGCATGAAACTAGGCTACTATTTGCTTTCCTTCATTATTTTAGGATTCACAGATCTGCATCCTTGAGTGCATGAGAAGGGATTCTTTTAAAAATAACTCAGTCTTTTTATATGAGCAATGGATGCCTGGCTACAGATATATTTTTTTTATTATTTCCATATGCGTCTCTCTGTTGCTGTAGGCTTTTCCCCCACAGCCTAGGTCGTCTTTAGGGCGTAGCCTCCTGCTGTCTTCTCTCAAGGTAGAACTAGATGAATGGACAGCATCCTGAAGCAAAGCTTCCCATTGTGAATTAACTGTGGCAGGTAAGGGACTTGGGGTCAGTGCACCAGGTGGCTCTCAGCTACACTCAGCCTGTACCCCACACTGCACCTTTCAATCATGACCAGAGGAGGGAAAGCCACTCACTTGAAGAGGGTTTGGCTGTAGGAGATTTTACCTGTTTGTCCTTTAAGTCCAGGAGGACCCTGGGCTCCTTTCAGGCCTGTTATCCCAGGGAAGCCAAGGCTGCCTTCTGTTCCTCTCTCACCAAAGACTCCCTTTAAACCTGTGATTGAAAGATTTTCTAGTTGATATTGTGTCAAAGTAGAACGTAGTGTTTAGAAGCTAGTCAAAACACACTGTGATACCATACCAATACTCTTTACTTGAGGACTGGGCAAACATCTTTATCTAAGCATTTTTCACCTCTTATTTATTTTTTAAAAAAATCTAATTTCTTCCTCTGAGACTGTGGAAATCAGCTGTGTAACATGGTACCCAATGTCCTCCACTGCTTGGTGTTTGTGTCCTCATGTCGTCCCCTCCAACACTGAGCTAGGCCGAACTGTGTAACCAGTAGATAATTACAGAAATAATAATGGAAGATGATTTCAAGGAAAGGTCATAAAATTCATTACTGCTTTCACATTGTCCTCTCTCTCTGATCACTTGTTCTGCTGGAAGTCAGCCGCCATACTGTGAGGATACTTAAGAAGTCCAGTGGAGAGATCCGTATGGCAAGGAACTCAGGCCTCCTGCCAACAGGATGCTGTGGTCCCAGTCAAACTGTCAGACAACTATTGCTCTGGCCAACAGCGTGACTTAACTCGAGAATAAATAACTAAAGTGGAGCGCCCTCACAGTGCTTTTCAAGGTGTAAAACGTCAAGGAAATTTCCTGGGGAATTCCTTAAATGGACAGATGCTTGAACCTCTCCCATAAAAGTAATTTAGTAGGTCTGGAATCTGTACCATAGGGTGGAGACTGGGACTTTGAGAAACACTGTTCACATTTGGGACAACGTTTTGTCAAATATTTCATATCTGTGGTACACTCTAAGATTGAGGTGACTGTAGACTAAATCTGTAGTCCACACAAACGGCTTGGAGGCCCAGGGTATCACTATTGCCCAAGGAGTACATCTATCAGTAAATCAAATTATAGATAAAAAAAAATTAACCTATCCTAAGAGTCCGGAATGAGTGTTGCAGAGTGGAGTATACTCGGGGTGGGGTGGGGGAGTGTGCAGGGGGGGATTGTGTACCAATGAAGGAGTTTTTCTTTTGCTTTTCAAGGAGAGGAGTGAACTGGGGGTGGGCGGGGAGATAAGTGCAACAACGAATGAATGGAAGTCCAAAATTTCTGTAGATGTTCACTGATATTAATTAAAAAGAAAAAGATTAACCTAGACAGGCTTGTAACTGAAACTGTCTGTTTCTATGTGAGAGTTCTAGAATCCTATGCAATAATGAATGCTCCTTTCCATTCAAGAGCTTTTCTAGATAACTTGCTCAGTTCCTCCCAGCTGGTCACTCACATAGGAAGATCTTTTTTCTCTCACCACAGCCATCCCAAGAAGGACCTGGGGCTCTGGAAAACTTAGTATGGAACATGATCAAACAGGCAGAAACCAGAAAGGAAGGGCTTATTGCAGAGCTTTTGCAATATTACTAAATGCAGAAATTTTGAATTTAAAATGGAAGCCTCAGAAAAGAGTAGAAAATTGATGGGCTACACAGGGTCCTACCCACAGCGGTAGTTATCTCTGTTGTCTTACCCAGGGGAGGGGTTCATCTCCTACCCCCTCTTTAATCTAGACTCAAAACCAGTAATGTTTACAGGAATACTTGTTCACTTATATTCCTTGTTTCATGTCCTATCACGTTCGCTTAGCCAAAACTCTACCTTTTGCAATCCTGATGATCTTTGAGGCCACTATTTGGATCCACTGTTGCAGCTATTAGAATTATTTATAGTGTTCGCCAAATGTTGATGCATTTGGAAAGCCAGGAATAGGAGTGGTGACACAGATAAAGGACCAGAGTTGTATCAAGGATGAAGATATGAAAAATAACTTATGTACCTGGGAGTCCAGTGATGCCTCGTTCTCCTTTCAGGCCTGGGCTGCCTGGTAAATTGATGGTGTCTCCAACATCACCTATTGTGTATGAAAAAGATGGTTGAGAACAGACCTTCAGATTGAGAAATGCTTAGTTTTAAACTCACTTCTCACTTATTGATATAGTTTCCAAAGACCAGGTTCCTTATGAAAAACTGCCATATAAAAACAGAAGATGTAAAAAGTCAAGGATTACACATAAGATCACAAAATGAAAGATGATTACAAACTGCCATATTATGTCACTACAGTATTGCCAAATTTCATTATTACCTAGCTGCCAAAAATACATCAGTACTTAACTGTTACATTATACCACTATGTCCAAAGCGGACATACAGCCTTAACCATCACATAAAATATTATCTGTGCTTCATACATTTATACTTATTGCTCCCGAACTTTCATGATTAATGCACAGAGATTAATGCACAAAAGATTTTGGATAGCAGATTTTTTTACTCACCATAAATGTCAACTATAAAGAGTCAAAATTATTGACAAGTGAAGAGAAGGTCAATAACTTCTATTGTGCCACATTCTTCAAAGATTACTTTGAAAATAACTATTAGCCTCTGAATGTGCTGCTGTTTCCACACATACCCAGAGAGTTCTGAATTTTGGATGCCCTATTTTTACTGCAAAAGCAACACTTACCAAAATCACCTGTCTGTCCAATCTCCCCATAAAGACCTGCTCTCCCTGGTGCACCCATGTCACCCTAGAATAAAGTAAAAACATGAAGCTCTTTTAGAAGACAGTTAGAGAAATAAGTCTGTAATGTTTGAGATTTTGACAGTGTATCTAACTCTCCCTTAGGTCCACAAAATTCAAGATTTGTGTTTTTAACATTGTGTGTGGGAAAAAAATCTCTGTGGTTTTTCAGCTTAATTGCTCCTCTAAATTTTTAACATAGCTTCATTTTGGGAAAGGGTAGAGAGGATATGGCAGAGGTTGTGTCCTTACTTAGACAGTGATACAATTTTCTTTTTAAAAATTTACTGTATTGCCATATAGCATTCACGCAGTAAAATGCACCCATACTAAATGCTCAGCTCAGTGAGTTTTTATTTATCTACCACTCAGTAAAGCAAAAGACTCTTTCAGCACCTCAGGAGGTCTCTTTCTAGCAGTAATTCCTCCAAAGGATTAACTAGTCTTCTTTCCCAAGGCAGCTAGTCTCTGTCTTCTACCCAACAGTCTTGTCAGTTCTTGAACTCCTTGTATCCTGTATACTTTTAGTTTATGGCTTATTTAATGCAACATAAAAATCTCTGAGATTCATTATCTTTGTGCTTTAGTCAATAATTTTTTTCTTGTTATTGTACACTCATCATAGTTTAAATATACTCTATTTATCCTTTCTACTGTTGATAGGCATTTGGGTTCCCCTCAGTCTTTGAATATTATGAATAACAGGACCATACATGCCCTTTTATAGCTATAACCATCTTTTAAAAAAAGCAATATTATTCAAAATGGGTGACCCTGGAGGACATTATGCTGAGTGAGGTATCTCAGTCACAGAGGGACAAATGCTATATGGTGCCACTGTTGTAGAATGAGGCTGACATTGGGATGGGGGTAAGACTGAGAAAAACTGGATGAAATATGTTTACGGCATTGAAGTCTTTGGGGGAGAGAATATTTTATAT